GAGGAGGCGTGTTGGAGGGAGAGTTCGGACAGGGGCATGGTGGGAAGGAGGCTTTGCTCCGGATGCAGCCAAGGTTTTTTGCCTGCGTTGTGTTGCTGCTTCCAGGAGGGATACTTCAGACAAGCTTTGTACATCTTCTTCATAAGCTGGAGCGTGGGAAGGGAAGAAGGGAAAAGGACCTGGGTCAAGATAATAAAGAAAAGACGGGAACTACGAGCACAAAGCTTGCAAGTCCATCCTCTCTCACACACAATGTCCTTGGCAGCTAATGTAGACAAAACCACAATTCTACTAAGCTCCACCTGCTATTTAAAAGTTAAGGCTTAGGCCAGGGGTAGGCAACCTTGGCTCTTTTATGACTCGTGGACTTCAACTCCCAGAATTCCTGAGCCAGCCATGCTGAGGGGAAAGGGAGAGGTTTCCAAGCTGAGCCCTGCTGGCTCAGGAATTCTGGGAGTTGAAGTACACGAGTCATAAAAGAGCCAAGGTTGACTACCCCTGGTCTAGGAGGCTTACTGCTTAGAACAGGAGGACTTAGGACAGGGGTAGGCAACCTTGGCTCTTTTATGACTCGTGGGCTTCAACTCCCAGAATTCCTCAGCCAGCGTGGCTCAGCTTGGAAACCTCTCCCTTTCCCCTCAGCATGGCTGGCTCAGGAATTCTGGGAGTTGAAGTCCACGAGGCATAAAAGAGCCAAGGTTGCCTACCCTGGGCTTAGGCACTGAAACTCAGACTGGACTAGAAGACCTCCACAGTCCCTTCCAACTCTGTTATTCTGTTATTTTTGTTACCACCCTCTCCCCCTCCTCCTCCTCTTCCTTCTCCCAGATTTCCCATCACCTTTTATCGTTCTTTTTTTAAAAAAAATTGGAAACAGGGAGAAATTATTTCAATTTTTTCCCCTCAATTCTGTTGTTGTTCTCTTTGTCTCTGCTGCTGCTGTTGTTCCATTTTCATAAGAATCTAAATTTAAATAAAGTTCTTCATCCCACACCTAAATGACAAAATGTGCCTGCCTACGTGCAGTGAGGTGTTAAAATGAGATATAAGCAAAAAGTCAGGCTCAAAACAAGCATTCTTAAAGGAGAGTATTTTATATTAACATATTAAACCAACCATGAATATAAATGAAATCCAACCAGGAATCTTTCGGAATTTCAGTTGGTAGTTAAGTGTACCGAGAAGGGAAAGATCGGATAAAATAAAAGCAGATGTCAATGTGGGGGCCCCATCACTGGAGGTTTTTAAGAAGAGACTGGACAACCATTTATCTGAAATGGTGTAGGGTCTCCTGCTTGAGCAGGGGGTTGGACTAGAAGACCTCCAAGATCCCTTCCAGCTCTGTTATTCTGCTATTCCTTTGCCAGCTGCTAACAGGATCTATTTGGGGAATATAAAGGCTCAAATGCCAGTTGAGTGATATGTCTCCAACCCCATAGTTTTAGGCAGTTTGGACAAGCCAGGAAAAAGAAGTGCCCTCCGTGCCCTCTTTGTTGCTTTTTATGTCCTTTGTAAAACTTCTAATAAAAGTTACATATCAAAAGAAAAGTTGTTTGGAAAGGTTTGTGCGAGTCCCCCCCTAAGCTAGTCACAGCAGTGGGAATACTTCCGTTGATCCTTTACAAATTTGCCTCCATTTCTTACCTTTGCTCTAGATGCCAATCAATCTTTCAACCTTAACCTTGCTCCCCCCCCCAGAGATAAATGCAACCTGTATCTTTCGGTTACCTGGCCTCATTTAAATCAATACAGTTCTGGGAAAGCCACCATGACTCATGCTGAGAACCGGCTCAGCCCAACAGGTGAGGCCTCACTCACCTTTGGTGCCAGGTACTGAGAAGCTTTATTCACAACCCACTTGGGCAGGGATCCTAGGTTGGAGAAGAGATGGAAAATACATTCGGATTCAATCAGGTTTAATTTCATCTTCATCCCAACCGGTCCTTTTCCCCCACCTTGAAAGCGTCCACCCCTTTGGAACAATGACCGCTCAGCTGTCCCCTCAAATTAAATTCCTCTAAAAAGCAAATTTGCAGAAGAAGAGGGCAAAACCAGACAGGAAGAAAGCATCACAAAAGGCACTAGGAAGAATTGGGAAACGGCGGTGAACAGAAGCCAGAGCAGATAAGGAAAGTGAAAGGAGAAAGCATGAAAAGAGCACATATTTCTAGGAAAGAGCTGTTGAGAAGAGGAATCCTGAAATAACATACGAACTGTTGCTGGACTTCAAACCCTACACATACAAAGTGTTTTGGGTGGAGGGGCTGTCCAGCGCTCAAAGCCTCTTTGCTTGCTGGTCCCCCTAAATCAGTGGTTCTCAACCTTTTTAATGCCGCGACCCCCCAACCGGTCGTAAGTCGAGGACTAAACCGGTTGTACGTCAAGGACTACCCAACCGGTCGTAAGTCGAGGACTTTCCCTGCCCGGGAGCGCCGCGCATGCGTGGTTCCGCCCCCTGCGCCAGCCGAGGCGTAGCTGGCAAGCGGCAGAGACGGAGCAGGCCGACCACCAGCTTGCCCAGCCCAACGGAGGTAAGGCACCCGCCGGAAAAGGGGAAAAAATGGCGGACAAAAAAAATGGCGGACAGCCTTGCTTGGCGACCCCCGTGAAATGGTCGATCGACCCCAAATGGGATCGCGACCCATAGGTTGAGAACCGCTGCCCTAAATCAATGGTGGCAAACCTTTTAGAGACCGAGTGCCCAAACTGCAACCCAAAACCCACTTATTTATCGCCGGGTGCCAGGTGGGTGTGGCCCACTGGGTGGGCGTGGCTGTGATGGTCATGGCAGACTGGGTGGGTGTGGCCAAGGTGGGCGTGATTACCTCGATGTTGCTCGTGGGGAGGGACGCCTGTGGGGGCCAGGCAGGGTTGGGGGAGATCCAGGGGGTCTCTGGCAGATGGGGCAGTGGGCAGGAGGCTTGTCCTGCGGGGTGAGGCAAGGCAAGGCGGGGGTGCCATTGTCGCAGGGCAAGGCGAGGCAGGGGCCGGGGCAGCTGCTGCCTGACACCATCGGCCCCTGCACACAGAGGCCAGCGAGTGCATGGGTGCTGGGATGCATCTCGGCAAGTTAGCAGGCGCCTGGTTGAAGAGGGACAGTTGCCATCTCCGGGGCATGGTGCGCGTGCCCACAGAGAGGGCTCTGAGTGCCGCCTCTGGCACGCGTGCCATAGGTTCGCCACCACTGCCCTAAATAATTCCTGCCCCAAAAGAGGATTCATAAAGAGTTGGGAGGACAATTACAATGAAATAAACAATTGTGACAGAACCCAAAGGTGCTTTTTTTTCAGGAGGCAACTGGACTGTCTTGTGTGTCTTTTGAAGACTTTTCGCTTCTCCTCCAAGAAGCTTCTTCAGCTCTGACTAGATGTGACAGAATGTCTTCCTCAGAACATGGTCAGGAGGAGGAAACACATTTGCAGAGACCCTGGATGAGGGGGGATATGATAGCAGTCTTCCAGTATCTCAGGGGCTGCCCCAAAGAAGAGGGAGTCAAGCTATTCTCCAAGGTGCCTGAAGGCAGGACAAGAAGCAACGGATGGAAACTAATCAAGGAGAGAAGCAACCTAGAACTAAGGAGAAACTTCCTGACAGTGAGAACAATTAACCAGTGGAACAACCTGCCTCCAAAAGTGGTGAATGCTCCAACACTGGAAGTTTTTAAGAAGAGACTGGACAGCCATTTGTCCGAAATGGTATAGGGTTACCTGTCTGAGCAGGGGGTTGGACTTGATGACCTCCAAGGTCCCTTCCAACTTTATTATTATTATTATTAATCCGGCCTTGCCTGGGGTGGGGGTAAGAGAATTGTCCTGGGCCCCACCCAATTTGGAAGGGGATCATGGGTTTACATTCAGGGCAGTGAAAAAAATAATCCATTCAATACAACCCAGAATTATTTCAGTGACTGAGGTCCCACAAAAGTCCCAGCCACAGGAAATTAAAAAAAAAGTGCTTTGATGGTAAAATGGGTGGCTTATACACTTAATAAGTAAATAAATAATAATAATAATAAGAACTGCAACAAACATTGTGCCCTCAAATCTCAAGGATGGGGGCCTGAACTAATGCACGCAAACTTTACTTGACATCTAGGTGTTCATTTGTAGATTAGATCTCTCCTGTGCTGATTTCTTGAAATCTAACATGCTTCCCACACTTATTCAACACCTCCTGCCACATGGATGAAAAGCACTGTAGCTGTTGTATTTGTAGCAGTTAACTGATGAGCTTCCCACACTGAATGATTGGGCGGTGGGGTTGGGGGTTGGGGATGGATGGAAGGGGCTCTGACTCAGACAGTAAGAGCAATAGGATTTAATCTTACATACAGCCCAATAGTGCTTAACAACAGTCTCTGGGCAGTTTACAATGTGTTATTTGCATATTTCCCCCAATAATCTGGGTCCTCGTTTTACCAACCTCGGAAGGATGGAAGGCTGAGTCAACCTTGAGCCGGTGAGGATCGAACTCCAGGCTGTGAACAAGGTTTGCCTGCAACACTGCAGTTTACCCACTGTGCCACCAGGGGGTCCTGCTCCAGAATTTGGAAGGGTTGACCAAGCAATCTTCAGGATAATATAAGCAGCTCAAGATCTGGTTTTGAAGCAGGTTAGATTATCTTGCACGTATAATAATAATAGTAAAGTTGGAAGGGACCTTGAAGGTCATCTAGTCCAACCCCCTGCTCAGGCAGGAAACCCTATACCATTTTGGACAAATGGCTGTCCAGTCTCTTCTTAAAAACGTCCAGTGCATTCACCGCTTCTGGAGGCAGGTAGTTCCACTGGTTAATTGTTCTCACTGTCAGGAAGTTTCTCCTTAGTTCTAGGTTGCTTCTCTCCTTGATTAGTTTCCACCCGTTGCTTCCTGTCCTGCCTTCAGGCGCCTTGGAGAATAGCTTGACTCCCTCTTCTTTGGGGCAGCCCCTGAGATATTGGAACACTGCTATCATGTCCCTCCTCGTCCTTCTCTTCATTAAACTAGACATTCCCAATTCCAGCAACCGTTCCTTATATGTTTTAGCCTCCAGTCCCCTAATCATCTTTGTTGCTCTTCTCTGCACTCTTTCTAGAGTCTCAGCATCTTTTTTACATCGCGGTGACCAAAACTGGATGCCGTATTCCAAGTGTGGCCTTACCAAGGCATTGTAAAGTGGTATTAACACTTCACGTGATCTTGATTCTATCCCTCTGTTAATGCAGCCTAGCACTGTGTTGGTATGATTCAGTTTACCTTGGCACGGCTCTATGTTTGAAGTGGCCCTCATTCCAGCCTACCTCCTAGTAACAGCCGATTATTTCAATTTAAATCTGTGGTGAGAGTGCCCATCTGTCCTGAACTGTGATGAGCGCAGTGCTGGCTCCAAAGCACCTTTCCTGCTTCAGATCCAACTAAATGCAACATCTGTCTCTAAAACGGGTCCTTACCTTTTGGGTCTACCTGGGCCAAATAAGTCAAGCAGCAACTGCTGGGTCCAGTTGGTTGCACTAGGTATCCAGCTAAGAGAGACACAGCTCTTATGAGATCCTTGCGGGGAGGGTATTTCTACACAAAAGAAAGGCGAACAATGAGTTGGGGTTGAGTTTTGGGTCTGAGCCTTTGAACAAGTCCCTCCATTAACTGAACTGATGTTGTAGGTGTGGACCTGCAAAGCCAACATTGACCACTAGATAGTGTGCAGTGTGTTGTGGAAGAAAAGCACACCTACTACTGTGTTTCCCCAAAAATAAGAGCCAATTGGCTCTTTTTCAGGACGCTTGTAAGATAAGCCCCACCCCAAAAATAAGCCCCAGTTAAGATAGTCAGCCAGATAAACGCACTTAGTACCGTATTTCCCCGAAAATAAGACCTAGCTGGAGAATAAGCCCTAATGCATCTTTTGGAGGCAAAAACTAACATAAGACCTGGTCTTATTTTGGGGAAAACATGGTAGCAGAGGGCAGCTCAACTTCCAGTGCTAAACTCACATTGTGCTGATTTCTCACAACCCACCAAATCCAGGTTAAGAAACTGTGTCACACAGCATGCCATGCCCAAACAATAGGATGATTTAGGCTAAGCCAGGGGTTGGCAACCTTGGCTCTTTTATGACTCGTGGACTTCAACTCCCAGAATTCCTGAGCCAGCCACGCTGAGAGAAAAGGGAGAGGTTTCCAAGCTGAGCCCTGCTGGCTCAGGAATTCTGGGTAGTTGAAGTCCAGGAGTCATAAAAGAGCCAAGGTTGCCTACCCCTGGGCTAAGCCAAGGGTATCTTCCCACAATGTGGCGACAACCAAAGCTACTAGGCCCATTTTAGTCTAGTGTGTACCATGTCGTGCAAATCACGCTGTGTACAGGTAGTCCTCGACTTGCAACAGTTCATTTAGTGGCCGTTCGAAGTTACAACGGCGCTGAAAAAAGGGACATGACTGTTTTTCACCCTTATGACTGTCGCAGCCTCCCCAGTGTCATGTGACCAAAATTCGGACGCTTGGCAACTGGTTCACATTTATGACGGTTGCAGCGTCCCGGGGTCACGTGATCCCCTTTGGCAACCTTCTGACAAGCAAAGTCAATGGGGGAGCCGGATTCGCTTAAGAACCAGATTACTGACTTAGCAACTGCAGTGATTCACTTAACAACTGTGGCAAGAAAAGTCATAAAATGGGGCAAAACCCACTTAGCAACAGAAATTTCGGGCTCAATTGTGGTCTTAAGTTGAGGACTACCTGTAAGCCACTCAGAAAGGTCCCAGTTTGTCTTGCTCACTTACCTGGTGCTTGACAGAGAAATTGAGGATTACATATGACTTATCCAAGATTCTCCAAGACCTCAAGGTGACGACATCTCTGTTCTTTAAAGGTTTCGGGCACTTCCCTAGCCAGGAAGATAGAGAAGGTGCATCAGTTTGATAGGCAGGGATTTAAACCAATAGAAAAAAAAGGGGGGGGGTAAACATAATTTAAATTACAGAAACACAGAGCTGGAAGGGAGCACAAGGTCCCTCCAGTCCAACGCTCTGCAAAACTCAATGAAGAGTGTTTGGCCTTTTCTTTATGCATCTGAGCACAATTTTCACGCTTCCCTCAAGTTCCCGTTTTCTTCAGGCTGAACTCCTCCAATCCCTTCCGCCTGTCTTCACAAGCAGGCCCTCAGGCCCTTGCGTCACCTCTGCTGTCTGCTTCTAAACCCTCTCTCACCTGTTAATAACCTTCTGGCTCTGCGGTACCCAGGGCTATAATTCTGCAAGGTTAATCTTTTATATCATCCAGGTGAGCCTTGCCAACCCGAGGCCTCGCTGGCATGTGCTGGCATTGCTATGTCAGGAATGCCCCAATTTGCATGGCAGCTTACCTAGCAAATTGGCAGCCTGCTCTGACAGGCCTGGATACCATCAGGTGATCACTGCTTTGTTGTTAATTGCGAAGTCGTGTCTGACCCATCGCGACCCCATGGACAACGTTCCTCCAGGACTTCCTGTCCTCTACCATCTTCTGGAGTCCATTGAAGCTCACGCCTACTGCTTCAGGGACTCCATCCAGCCACCTCACTCTCTGTCTGTCCCCTTTTTCTATTGCCCTCCATCTTTCCCAGCATTAGGCCTTGCTACATACAATGAATTCTATTTTATCCTCCTTCTTAGGGGAAAGAGACCAAAAGCTTTGGAAGAATTCTGCAACCCCTTGCCTTTACACATTGCAATGTTCAGGAATTAGGATTTAAAAAAAAATAAATTAATTAAAAAGCCATTCAGCATGTACTGATTAATTTATCTCAGCCCAACCCACCTTGTGGGGTTGTCGTTGCGAGGAAAATGGGAAGCGGAAGGGAAATCAGGTGTGTTGGCTGCCTTGAGTTATTTATAATAAAGGTGGAGTAAAAATTCTAATAAATCAAGCTGCATAAAAACCCTGTAAAGGTAGTTGGACCCATTATTCATGGAATCAGAACAAAGATGGGAAACCAGGTAATCCTTGACTTATAACCACAATTGGAACCAGTATTTCCATGGCTAAGCCAAATGGTGGTTTAGTGAGTCGTGCCTGATTTTATGACCTCTTTTGCGAATCGCTACAATTGTTCAGTGAATCATGCAATCATTATAAACGAATCCCACTTTCCCACATGGGTTTTGCTTGTTGGAAGGCAGCTGGGAAATCTGTGTCACGTGATCCCAGGATGCTGCAACCGTTTCAAAGAGAGGCCGGCTGCCAATTTTGGTCACGTAGCCCATGGGGATGCTGTGACAGCCGTAAGTGTGAGGATCAGTGGCAAGTTACTTTTTTTAAAAAAAGCCAACATAACTTCAAACGGCCATTCAATGCTTTTTTTCAGGAGGCAACTGGACTTTCTTGTTTTTTTTTCTTCAAAGACGTTCCGCTTCTCATCCACGAAGCTTCTTCAGTTCTGACTGGATGGTGGCGAATAAAAGGATTCAGTCAAGAGCTGAAGAAACTTCTTGGATGAGAAGTGAAACGTCTTCAAAGAAAAACAAGGAAGTCCAGTTGCTTCCTGAAAAAGCATCTTTGGGACAACCGTGATCTGGATGACTGAGAATCTCCATAGACCAGGGGTCTTCAACCATGGCAACTTTAAGACTTGTGGACTTCAACTCCCAGAATTCCTCAGCCAGCCATGCTGAGGGGAAAGGGAGAGGTTTCCAAGCTGAGCCCTGCTGGCTCAGGAATTCTGGGAGTTGAAGTCCATGAGTCATAAAAGAGCCAGGGTTGCCTACCCCTGGGCTAAGCCAAGGGTATGTTCCCACAATGTGGCGACAACCAAAGCTACTAGTAAAGCTGGCTGAGGAATTCTGGAAATTGAAGTCCACAAGTCTTAAAGTTGCCAAGGTTGAGGACCCCTGCCATAGACATTAAATGAATCATTCAAGTCAAGGACTACCTGTGGAACATCAAGCCATAGGGCATTAGAAAAGATAGTAATCCTTGCGCTTGTTGTCATGAATATTCTATTTATATTAGGTTGATATCTTTCATCTTTCAACTCAAAGCTCATAAGTTACCCAATGAGCTTCCATAGCTGAGAGAAGGTCTAGAACAGGTATGTCCAACTTTGGCAACTTTGTGGACTTCAACTTCAAGCATGGCTGGCTGGGGAATTCTGGGAGTTGAAGTCCACAGGTCTTAACTTTGCCAAGGTTGGAGACTCCTGGTCTAGACTTTGGTTTTGATCTTACCTAGTCCATCTCCTTAAGTACCATACGGCATATTTTGTGCATAATGTGCACCATATGGTTTGCTGGTTCTGGAGGGACAGCCATAAGCCACACAAAAAGCAGATGCTCTTCTCTGCCTATCAAGGATCTGAGATATCAGCAGATATTGGCCAGTTTAGGATCTAGTGAGGTCTGGCTAAGCAGACAAGGGTCCAGAGATGAACATTTCTAAAAGAGCTTGAGCAAGAACAAAGCTCTCCAACTTCTGGTATCTGGTATCGAGAGATCTTCTGCCTCTAATTCCAGAAGAAATTCCAGAAGCATGTACTAAGGCCATCTCAGACTTGTCTGTGTCATCACAAAAGCCTAAATTAGCTAAATCTGGTTCCACTTTAATTATAGCATTCAGAGAACCATGTAATTTGGGGCTCTAGGCCTAAAGGCAGAGGGTCAGTTTGGGATAGTGGTTAAGGCATCTGGCTAGAAACCTGGAAGTTCTAGTCTTGCTCTGGGCACAAAGTCAGCAGGGGGATCTTGGGCCAGTCAGTCTCTCTCGGCCCTAGGAAACAGGCAATGGCAAATCACTTCCAAAACACCTTGCCAAGAAAAATGCAAGGATTGTCTAGACCAGGGGTCTTCAAACTTGGCCCTTTTATGACTTGTGGACTTCAACTCCCAGAATTCTTCAGCCAGGCACATTGGCTGAGGAATTCTGGGAGTTGAAGTCCACAAGTCATGAAGGGGCCATAGTTCCCCCATGCTGGCTGAGGAATTCTGGGAGTTGAAGTCCACAAGTCATAAAATGGCCAAGTTTGAAGACCCCTGGTCTAGAAAGTTGGCAGGACTCAAGACTGATTCAAAAGTACTGAGAAAAAAAAAGATCTACAGACTGACAAATTTCGCCATAATTTGGGCGAAACTCTTTCCCGATCAAATTTTTAACCTGGATGCCAAAAACTAAGAATCGAATCCTGCCATCTGCTTGTTAAGAACGGTATGCACCTAATATCACGAAATCTTCTAGTTCCTTACTCACAGGAATAGTATCCCACATCAGCGTTGTCAGAGAGCCGGGCGATCTCATGGGTTTCGATAACATTCAAGTCCCACTTCTTCCGGTATTCGGTGTCATGTAGGACATCAAACACGGTCTCAGCTGACACATCCGGCATGTTCACACAGCCCTGTGATCAAAGGAGAGGCAATGTTAGACTAGTCAGTGGCCTGATGGTCAAGCTGTTCTAGGTTGGGTCCATGGTCTTTTTTTTTTAAAATATGTTTTATTGATTTTTAACACAATCACCTTAATTTTTGGTAAACAGCGTGTTGTCTGGGTTAGTATTTTAAAAAAACAATCAATAACAATTAATTTCTATAATTCTATAGTCCATATAATGACTTTGCTTGCTTTTCTCTTCTTCCAATAACGCTCTCTTTTGCCAACCTTAAATTAATACAGTTATTATTTGAATAAATGACAATTAAATATAGACATTTTCCTCATGTTTCTGCAAATGGTCTTGTATATCTCGGGTTCTGCCTCTATAATTTCCCTAGTATCACCAGGGTTATTACACAGAGGCTCTCACAGACATTATGGGGATGTAAACCGCACACAAATAAACCACAGGAGCCGTGGTGGCACATTGATTAGAATGCAGTATTGCTGGTTAACTCTGCCCACTGTCAGGAGTTCGATCTTTTCTAGAGAGCCTTAAATGTAAAACGGGAATATTGTACAACAATATGGTAAAACAAGAGACATGGTGGTGCAGTGGCTAAAATGCAGAATTGCAGGCTAATTCTGCCAACTGCCAGCAGTTTGATCTTGACCGGCTCAAGGTTGACTCAGCCTTCCGTCTTTCCGAGGTCGGTAAAATGAGGACCCAGATTGTTGGGGGCAAAACGCTGACTCCGTAAACCACTTAGAGAGGGCTGTAAAGCACCGTGAAGTGGCATATAAATCTAAGTGCTATTGCTAAACACTTTTCTGCTCTCAGATGTGGCAAAACTGATCAATCTATGTATCAAAATGTTTTATTCATTTATCAGAATATAAAATACAAAGGAAAATGAAAATAATGGGAGCAGGGGAAAGGTGAAAGGGAAAAAGAGAAAGTGTGGGGTAGAGGGGAGAAAGAAAGGCGTTGTCTTCCAACTCTTTTTAGCACAGAAGTAGACAATAACATTACAACCTCAACTGTTTATTTTTATACAATAATACATACGAGCCGTTTCTATAACAACAAATCTATCATCAGCAAAACCAAAACCAGAGTTTCAATTTTTCATGAAAAGTGATCAATCTAAAATGGCCTTGAAAGAGAAAAACTGGCAAGATCAGTGGCGACCTATAGTCTTATCCTCTGTTGGGTTTGGAGAGCTTTGAATCACATTCGGAATCAAAGGAGGCGGGGAAAGATTATTGCCATATTTCTTGGTTTAAATATTTGAAAGATATCTTGCGTTTTTGTGCATTTTAATGTCGATGGCTGCCTGGAGTGTTCCATTAACAGGGGGAAAAAAATAGCCCAAGATGTTAATTGGAAGAAAGAATAATAAAAGGTCCAAGTTGGGGGCTTTCAGAATAGACTTCAGAAGCAATAAAAGTTTGGTTGGCAAGTGTGGTTAATGACTGCTACAGGAATAAGCCCAGAAAACATTCCAATGTAATGATTCCTCACACACAATCTAGGAAAATAACAGGTTGGATTGGATGCATGAGGTGACCTTGTGAGATCCAGTGTAAGTCACCTGAATAAACTAGGCTGTGAAAATGCCTTCTGTCCTTTAGCAAATGAATGTTGGCAACCCATGTCTCTCTCTGCAACTTGGCATACTCTGCCTCCGAAATAAATAGAAAATACTTGTAGCTCCGGTTTCAGATTTTGGCAGGGGTTTGTTCTCCAAGCTTGCTTCAGTTCAGTTTCTGAACTTTTCGTTACCAGACTAAGTAACATCAACAGGAGGATTTGTTTGTCCTGTTCCTCTTGGAACAGCCTCTTGGGAAAGCCCAGGGAAATCATCAAAACAATTAAAAAACGAAAATTAGAATATTTTGGACATGGGATGCGACACCCAGAAAAATACGGCATACTCCATTTAATCCTCCAGGGAAAGATGGAAGACAAACGAGGTCCAGGCAGAAGAAGAACATCATGGCTTCAAAATCTAAGGGACTGGTTTGGACAAAACTCAGCAGCACTTTTTCGTGCGGCTGCTGATAAAAACAGGATCGCCAACATGATCGCCAACATCCAATAACGGATATGGCACAAGAAGAAGTTCCTATTTAGCTTATAAATGTCTTGTGTGCCAATGTGGTTGGCAAACTTGGAGAGCAAACCACCACCAATTTCTACCTCCTCCTATGAGCCAACGGCAATCTCCTTTTAGGCATTACAACATACTATAATATTTTTATTCGGTATACACTTATATCCAAGTGTAGTACAAGATCTATTTTTCTCCACCCGGTGAGGGAGGTTCGGCTGACAGAGCACGGCTGGCCCAAGTTCACTCAAGTAGCTTCCTCTTCTAGAGGAAGAACGTGGACCTGAATTCTTCTTCCCAATCCAGTACCATCAACACTGGACCGCACTGGTTCCCATGACGATAATGGAGAGCTATACAGGTTGTCCTCGACTTACAAGAGTTCATTTGGAGACCGTTCGAAGTTACAACAGCACTGAAAAAAGTGACTTACGACTGTTTTTCACACTTACGACTGTGATCATCATGTGATCAAGCTTGGCAACTGCTTCATATTTATGACGGCCGCTGTCTCCCAGGGTCACGTGATCCCCTTTTGCAACCTTCTGACAAGCAAAGTCAATGAGGGAAGCCAGATTCGCTTAACGGCTGTGCTGCTCACTTAAGCACTACAATGATTCACTTGACAACTTTGGCAAGAAATGGGGCAAAACTCACTTAGCAACTGTCTTGCTTAACAACAGAAATGTTGGGCTCAATTGCAAGTCACAGGCTAGCTGTAATCCTGTACATTTGGAGGGCTTCAGATGGAAGAAAGCAATGCTCCGTAGGGACATATGTATTCCCTCGTTTTATGTGTTATGTGACAGTTACATCTCCTGCTGTGGACACCTCTAATACAACTAAAATTGTATTTTAATTAGGAATTGTTCTTTAAAAGGGTCATTTTCTACATCTGAAATGCATTAATGTTTCTCTTTTTTTCTTGAAAAAGCATAAGGTTATGGATGCAACTCTTTGCTGACGGCCATATTTCTATTCCCACACCAGCTTGGCTCTTTTATTTATCTTATCTAGAGGAAGAATTGAACTCAGCTTTTCTCATTGGCTCAATTTTCTACCCGCAATGGTAGGATTCCCACCCTTAATTTTTGCCTTTTTGACCTGGCCTGTTTCTAATGAAAAAGGAACAGCTTCTCCTATCATTTCTCTTCTTTCAGACAAACTAGGAGCTCCGAAGCTCTTTTCCGTGCTTCTTTGTAAATCATTGATCTGTTGGCCAACTTCCTGGTTGGCTAGTAAAACAGTGACTTTGTCTGGCTTCAGAGCAAGCGACAAATCCTATATTCTCCATGGATTATTCAACAACCTGGGATATCATGTCCTATCAAGGACATTTCCCATTAGGCTCACCTAATTATAATCTAAAAAGAATTCAAGAGCAACAATGGAAAGGTGGAATAATTCCCTTCTTTGTGGAATTATTAGGATTAGAAGCCAGCAAAAGGGGAATTTTTATGGCAGGGGCAATCTATGACTTTCTGCTTTCTGAACGATGTCCTTTCTGCCGCAGACATTTTTTTACTGGATTTTCCTGTAAATCAAGATTAGGAAATTGGAGGCTTAACAGGCTCGGCTTGTTACAGCTGTGCAAAAAAAATCTGGATGCCAGGAGTTCAAAACACGTGCATAGAATGTATCCAGAAACCACCACCCCAAATCCAACCCATCTCATCCCAATTATGGAGGACAGCTTTCGAGTCCAGAAAGACACATCTGCTCCTAGTCATATGATGTGGTCCTAGCATAAGCAGGTAGTACTTTATTTTAGTTCATTTAGTGACCGTTGGGAGTTACAACGGCAGTGAAAAAAGGTGACTTATAATCGTGTTTCCCACTTATGACCGTTGCACCATCCCCGTGGTCACATGATTTACATTGGGATGCTTGACAACTGACTCACATTTATGATGGTCGCAGTGTCCCAGGATCACATGACCCCCCCCCCTTTGCAACCAGATTCCCTTAACAACCATGTTACTAATTTAAAAACAGCCGTGATTCACTTAAAGGTAGTGAGAAAAGTCATAAAATGGGGCAAAACTCACTTAACAATCTTGGGAAAAAAACCTGATTAGATATAAATGTGATGTCAAGCTCTATTTCTAAAATATGGACTGCATCCTTGTATGAGGATTTTTGGGAAAGCATCAGACTGAATTCTATATTGGTATTACGTATACGTTATATTTTGTCCTTTGTGTTAGATTGAGTGTATTTTAACTACCCACAATGTAGAACTGAAGAAGCTTCTTGGATGAGAAGCAAAAGGTTTTCAAGGAAAAACAAAAGTCTGGTGGCCTTTTGAAAAAGCACCTTTGGGATACCCACAATATACGGAGATTCTCTTCTCAGTGTGTAATTGCTACTGTATGTTTTTCCTGTTGCAGTTGTTTGCATTTCACCGTGAAAATTATTTAACAAGCATAAAATTCCTCCTAACAGGTAGAATGTGCACCCCTATCCTTACTCAAAATCCTGCTTTAACTTCCGAATTGATCTCTCTGTATAGCTCTGCTACCTATAAGAAGCAATGACTTTAACAGCAGCAAGAATTGTACTTGCCCAATATTGGAAAAATGAAAACTTACCAACTGAGGGAGCAGAAATGGATAGATTAACTTTAGAGATTAAACAGAAAGAAGACTCAGTCTACTTTAGAACATGGGATAACTTTTACCAATGGCTAGAAAAACGAGTCAGAGAGAAAGGAATGTGACATGTAATTTTGAATATATATTAGTAAGAAGAAGGCTACTGAGTGATTAATTAATACTGTTTATGATAATTAACTATATCTATTATTGTTAGTTAAATACATGTACCCAGACAATATGCTGTTTGCTAAATATTGAAAATGTTACCTGGGAAACCCCAACCCTAACCCTAACCCTAACCCAAACCCCAATCC